TAGAGTAGGGGTGTCAACAATGAAGATATCAAATGGAGTGCACCAATACAATATTACATGTTCAAGTGATGGGCTATTTGATCCGAAATGATGTAGGCTTGAAGGTCATATACTGGAAGTTAAGGGTAACGAGAATACTAAAAGCTTTAAATTTTGGGAGGAGGATGGAATTTACAACTAAGAAGCTCCAGGTAGCTTAGATCCTGAAATTTGAATAGGTGAGAAGGCACACGAAAGTTCATGCTTTTTCATATACTAGTGTCTCCGGCACGTGCGTTGCACGTGTATATTAAGTCATGTAGTACCAGTTATATTTCTTGCACTTCTCAAGTGAAAGACAGAGCTTGAGATTTGCAAAAACGAAGGTGATTGGTCATTTATTTGGGTCATTGGGTATTTATATTCGATATCCATGGTAACTTTTTTGTTGCAATGATCCAAAAAGTGTTTCTAATAAATTTATCTCGAGTTTAAAATATTTTTTAACGTCCAAGATAACAAAATGATTTACAGTTGTGCTCTTAGTATCATAAAAGATACACATAACAATGGAAAAAATAGAGAAAATTAAGGCGAAACAATTCGAACTCAATTAAATTCAACTCATCTCCAAATTATGACTATTTTACAGTACACATACAACTCAATAACAAACGGTAAAAGTAGATTTAGAACTCATATCAGAAAATCAATTGATAAACAAAGACAAGGAGGAACATGAGAGGTTTGTATGAATACAAATGTTTTTTGCTGATTAAATAGAAGTGAACTTACAAGTCGATTTCGCTGAAAATAAATAAGGCGAAAGTTTAGTGGATAAATAGAAGAAGATGACAGTCATGAAGAAGTAGTAAGAAGCTGAGCTGAAACATTAACAGAGAAAATGGAAAAGGTGATTTGCTCATTTTACCATGTTTTTGAGTTAAAATTTTCAAACTGCGTACTATCTTGTGTCGAGTACTCCATGCATCCCACATCTTATGTGTATATACCTTTTTGTTGTTTCTTTTCTATTGTAAAGAGCCTAGTTTGTTGTACTAATATCAAGTTGTCTTTCAAATCTCTACAACGGCAGGGAAATAGGATATAACAAACAATTACAAATTGAAAATAACTATGCACTTGTATTAAGAAACATATTTTTCTAGTAATATATTTATTTTCCACAAAGTATTTACGTAGAGAGACCAGTAAGAAATTTCAAGAGATTGTCCCAATAAAGATAGTGAACCCAACTTCATCTCAATCAATAATTCCTACACATCAATTATTATTATATCTTTCAATTGTCAGTCATTAAGATGAGACAGTTAATCATGTCACCTAACACCTACTGATCTTTTGTTAGGGAAAACTATCTATATTTTGAAAGTATGTTAATGTCATATTCACTTCTTGGGGTGAACTTTGAAACATATAAACTAAAGTTTTACTATTTATCTTCTAATAGGAATCACGCCGAAATATTGATAGTCTAGAATGATGGAGCACAAATGGTACTTTATTATTACGATGATGAATTAAAATGTTTCACCAAGTAGGCATTACATGTTAAATTAAGTTTTTAGTTCATGATGTATCTAAAATGCAAAATTATAAATTTTGTCTACTATATTGGATCATCAAAATGCTTTTATTTTATGAACTCTAAACAGATAAAAGAAATAAAAAATAATACTGGATGAAACATACTTTGACATGTTATTAAACCAATCGGTAAATGATCGGAAAACAAAGTTTAAAGTTAGACGAATAGGCGATGCAAAAGATATATATGGATTAACTTAGTTATCAAACAAATGAATACTACGATTTACATAAGAATGCAACATTCATTTGGAAGAAGTTAGATATGGCATTTACCGAAGTGAGCATATTACAGTTTATGTAATGTATTAAGGGAATCAAACAATCGTAGCATGTACAATGTAGGTTTAGGAGAAGATTATCACTCGCTAGTTCTTTTTTATTTTTTTGTTTTTTATAAATAAAATGGAAAATCAAATATGGATATATATCATGTATTGTTTTCTTGTTACACCAAGATATAGCAAAAGTAAACTCCTTGACTTAAAGGTAATTACATTTTATTTTTCCTGAAATATTTTGGAGATTTCTTTTAAAATTAGCCACCAGATAATTAATGCATGGATCAAAATAACTAAGATCTCTTTTTGCCACTTAGATTTTCAATTTCACATCAACTCTATTCCTACCCGAATTTTTCTAATCCCTTGATTTCCCTTTCAAAGTATCATTTTGTGTTTATTCAAGAGATAATGTTATTTGCACCGAATTATGCTGTAAATTTTCACTTTTCCTAAATCCAAAACTTAACCTTGTGCATCAATTAGTTAAACATACAAAAAGACTCTCCGCTCTTGCTCTCCAGTCTTCAGAAAAGCTCTAGATTGTCTGATGAAGAAAGTTCACAAAAAGAAGCAGGAGAGAAAAAAATTAAAAGGTAGTTTTACATCCACACACACACACACACACATATATATATATATATATAGACTATCCTCGAATTCTATCTTAAACCAACTTTGACCCATTTATTGTGTGCCTTATCTAATATAACATATTAATGGCAGCTTGATCAAATCGATGGTAGCCTGATCAAATCAATTGCAGCCTGATCAAATTAAAGAATATTTTTCTTCCCGTCTTTGCAGTGATTTTTTTTTAACAATCTTAGGATAGAGTATCTTCGAATTCTATTTATTTTTCACGTGCCCGATCCAATATTACCATACAGATGGCAGCCTTATCAAATTAAAGAATATTTTTCTTTGCGTCTTGCAATGGCTCAAAAATAGAAGTACAATCATAACAGTAGAAATTAAAAATTTTGCATCCCAAATATTAAAAGGACACGATTAAAGAGCTAGAAAAACCAACGTGCAAAGAATTAGTAGTATATACTTGAGGAATAAGACCAAAAGAATACCTTAGGAAATAGCCAAACATATATAATAGAGATAATTATTCCAGTGAAAGATGTTTACTTATAATATATATGATCAAAAAATAAAATTAATTTTGTGGTACCTGAAGTACGACTACATTACGGTAATGATTATTTTTTTCAAGATTTAAAACTTCATCTGGTTCTTCCATGTATCTCGTGTTTGCAATTGTCTTGATTTCATCTCGAAGTAAATTCTTAAAAAAGAAGAAAAATAAAATGGGACCCAAAGCTTGGTGTCTCTTTGCAATCGTTTTGTCCCTCTTTCTAACCGTTGCTTCTTTTCCTCGTTGTTTTCTTTTTGTAGGCGTCTTTATGTTGGTGTTTCTTTGTAGTTCTTTTTATATATTTAATTTAATAGGTTATTAAAATAAGAAGGGTAAAAAGGTAATTTAACTTTTTAATTAAGAGGTTCTTGCTTTTAATATAGTATATAGATTCAAGTGAGAATTCGTGAACATTTTTCTTAGACACACAAAATATAGTTATCAATATCAGGATAAAGCTCAGAGCTAGGGACAAGGAGGCTAAGTTTGCGTAGTGATCCTTGATGGATTAACAAAACATGGTAACTACTTGTTCTAAGGAGTCCTCCTTTGTCATCGTTATCGTGAAACACAAATTCTGAACCTACTTCTACCCATTTGGACCTCCGTTCTTTTGACAAAACAGACAAGGGAGAGAGACCCGGAGAGGGAAATTTCCTTGCTAACCCCTAATCCTTTTAACCTATTTCGGATTGCACTTATTGGGTCTGGATCCCAAATTAACCTTTTTAAAAGCTTTCTGTTTGTCTGGATTCTTCTCGGCCTAATAATTCTTCTCAGTCCAATATTAATTGGAGCTAATTCATAACACAAGTAAGGCTAGATTTTCAAACAACTTTGTCTTTATTCTGTTCATGAAAAAACAAAAGCTGTGATTAGGCCTGTCACCTGTGCCCTTAGTGCTTTTACTTTTTTTGGTTTCCCATCGAGTCCGCTGACTACATTTAGCCCTAACTAATCCGAATTTGTGTTGTATAAGGCATATTAAAGAGGAAGTACTACTTACTAGATTTCTGAGACTTCTAGTTAAGGGTGGATAGATTCTATCCGGATCACTGCAGCCCTACATGATGAGAGTAATATTACTAAACTACAAGTACACTTACCAGATAACCATTTTTGGCAATTCCCAATTTATAGTGGTGAAAGGCTCAAATCAACGAAGCCAACAGATTTTGGGCAAGGATGTTAATGATCAACATAAACATATGACAGCCAAGGAGAGACCAAATTCATATATTATTTGCTCTATAACGCCCAAGATAGTGTGTGCGCGCGCGCCCGCAAAGATATGTATGCATGTATTGAGATAATAGGGGCTTTACCAGTGCATACTCTGTAAGAAAAGGACTGAGAACTTTGACTTCCCACTTGTCAAGTTACTTCACTAAATCATATACGTAACAGGAAGAGCTTATATATGGTGCCTCAGTTTCGTTTGATGATTTTATAATGGACCAGGATTTTGGTGATCTTTTTAAAGAAGTTAATTGTTTCTAGTAATTTTTAGAGAAAAGTATCTAGTAATATTAGCCCAAAATCCCTTTTCTATTACAAAGTGGCTAATGACCATGGTTTTTTGCGACAAAGCTCCAGTGAGAAGTCAGTAAATCTAGGTGTACAATCATACAAGTACAATCTTAGGTTCATTTCTTTATTCTAGGTGTTCGATAAATTATCATTAGTTTTAATCATTTCAACTCTTATCTGAAAGATAAATTAGGATACGTTTAATCTAGGTGTTCGGTAAATTGTTTGTCTAATCATTAGTTTTAATTACTTCAACTCTTATTTGAAAGATAAATTAGGATACATTGATTCACACACTTTAGGCATCCACGGCAACACCATACAGTGATCCTCAGGGAAAAAAAAATATTAAATTACGTTAATTTAATGAAGGTGATAAATAAAGGTAAAATACATATTCATTAATCATGATTAAGCAATAAAACTTATATATAAAAGACATGTTATGCACTTAGTGAATTAAGCATGCTCTGACTGTAGGTAAGTACGTTTGAAACATAGCAAGTTACTCATAGAGACAGATTACATGATAAGCTATGATAGTTGAATAATCTCTTACGCAAGCACCTTTACACTGTGTTTACTACACACACTGCATAACGAGAAAAGTCAAAGGACAAGTAGTATACATGGTACTTCCATGACTTCTTGGGTTTTCAATCAATACATGATCTTCTACTATTCTACCTCAACAGCTTCAAACTTGAATTCAACATTGGGCGATGCTCGACGGTATTGTTTCATCTCATTTATCATTTGTCTTCCCGACTGAAGGATATATGAAAAATTCCAAATGAAAATTTCCTTAAGTAATGGTGCAGATGCTAGTATAAACCTCACAAATTGCATTTCCATCTTAGTGCCAGTAAAATGACTCATCTCCACACTTTGAAACAGCTTCACAACACCACCAGAGCATGTTTGGTCTTGTAAGAATTGTACAACAGCTTCCACAACATTGTTCACTGATTCCTAAAGGATTTTCGGGAAAAATGGTCAGGCGAGTTCAGTGTAAAGACCATATTCAGTCACTTTCAAGAGAAAATAGGAGAGTGCTTACACATTTAATTGTAAGCTGTTGTAATTTAGGGCAGCTTGTAATCAAGTAAACAGCAACCGAAACCTCCTTAAGATCCCCGAAAGACATGTCCGCCATTTTGAGAGATTTGACATTGTTCAGAGCAGTCGGGGGATTATGTGGCAGACCTCCCACGGTCAAGTACTAGAAGCAAGTCAAAAATTAGTTAAAGAAACAAATCAGGTACATCATTTGGTTATGATATGTACCAAGTTTCACGAGACTATAATAAATATTATTACACATTTCCATTACCTCCCATAACGAACCACGTATATCCAGTTCCTGTAGGGAAGGGATGCAATGGAAGAACTTCATAAGATTTGAACAACCAGGAGATGAATCAGGCAAAACTCGTGATCTGAGATACACAGCAACTTTTTCAAGCATCGGGGTGTTCTTGAAGCAAATGGACTTTGAGCTTCCTCTAAACTCAAAAAATCTGAGACTAGGGGCGTCAATTTCAAGGGTGTCAAAGTTAACGCACCAAAGCAACCTCAATCGTTCAAGCAATGGGCATTTAGAGATGAGATTCCAAAATACTGATGGAACAAAAGTGACTCCATAAAAATCAAGATTAATAAGCTTCTCAAACCCTTTGAAACCAGGCGGAGGGGAAAACAAGCATTTATGAATTTCCAGATGCCTTAGTTGCCGGAATGTAAAAAGGTGAGAAGGTAAAACATATATGTTGCCTGACCGTATGTGAAGGGTGAGTTCCTGGATATTTTTCTTTGACAAGATGATCAATATCAGGCCAATTCCTCAAATTAGGGCCTCCGAGTTTAAACTTCAGTTATGGAGTAATAGGACTTGGTAAATGATTGTCTTAGCTTCTTGATCATGTGCAAATGACCTGAAAAACTCATCACTAAAATCAAGTTTTTGACGTGTGACCCATTTGTACCTCCAGCCTTTTGACAAGATACTGGTCTTCACTGCATCTTTCAAAGGCAAGCACCCTAGAATTTCCTCTAGGACATTACATGGCAAATTGCTAATTGTATCAACACCAGAACTCCTAGCACTATTCATGGTCCAATACTGGCGAGTTTGCAGGCAATTCTGAAAATTAAAATCAGGGAAGTTAACAAATAGTACCAAGGAAATGCACTTGTCAACATAGTATTCAATATTCAACCAACAGCTATTTGAAGGAAATTCAAATTCTTATGAATACGTGTTTCAGCAATGTATGCATAGCGGTATATGACTAGTACTTCAATATTTTCAACTGCATACGATTTTACCATTTTTAGTATCTTGGAGAGACAAAATAATGATACATGCGAGAGTATCAGGATAAAACAGAGATTGAAAGATAAGAGGACCATAAACTTCACATAGAGAACACTGTTAGTATCTGCAAAGCAAGCCCATTAACTGTCTCCTACTAAGGTTTCATTATTCTTCCAGATATTCAGCCCGTCTAACCTGTTGAAATTTTATATACTTTCTTCCTCGCATTAGCCAGGGTTCCTCAGTTTTAGTACTTGAGAGAAAAGCTGTTACTCTATTTTTCTTTCCAATTAAACTCACAGTTCACCATGAGCTTTCGTCATTAACGCATAACTGCCACTCTATCTAATCACGTATTTTTAATAGATAAAAGTCAGAGTCAGGAGAGCAAGCAAATGAGTTGAAACATATTAGAAATAAAAGTTGATCGGAGCACGCCAAAGAGAGAGCATCCACGGGAAAGATGTTACGCAAGATTAAGTTCATAATCTAATATTCTCGACGTATTTTAAGTTCTTGAAGATTGCACACTTGCCGATTTATGGAAATAATTCCCTCTATTTGAGATGATATAAAAGTTACTCTCTCCAGTCCACAATAAGTGACCAATTTGCCTTGGGCACACGCATTAAGACAATACAAAATTCTAGACAAAAATAGTTAGTGTGACTAAATTACCCTTAATTAAATGTTGCAACATTGTTAACGTGAGGAGTAAAAGACTTTTTAAGGCTACGTACATAACAGTAATTCTGAAAAAACAAATTGAATTTTTCTTAATTATATAAATGGACACTTATTTTGGACCAAAATAAAAAGGTAAATTGGTCACTTATTGTGGACCGGAGGGAGTATATAGTGTAGTTAATATAAACTGGGACAGAAAAGGTGCATTTAGCTAATCAATTGCGAGAAACATCTGAATAACATCTATTCTCCTTTCTAAACAGGTCAAACAAAACACAGCAGGGGAAAATATTAAAAGAAGAACCACATTAATAATATTTCTATTACTATAAAGATTGAAGAATATGGATGATGACCTGCTGCAAGGTAAGCAATGAACAACTAATGCTTCCCCAACATACCATCAAGAAAGTAAATATTGGTCATATTTATTTAAAATAAGCAAAGAATGCATAAATAGGGCAAAGAACGCAGAAAAACTTGATTCTGTGCTTGCTTTCTGAATAGGGCAAAGAAAACAATAACAAAAAATGATGTCTCATGTTTTGTGATTGACTTTGTTAAACATCTTGCAGATTTTTTACCAATATCCACCCCCAATTTCCATATGCATCAAGAGAAAAATCAATTTGTAAGCAGAAATTAGGGTCCAGGAGAATTGGGGAGTATGGCGCTCTAGGGCTTTGGTCGCACATCGTGGGTTCAAACTAGACAAAAACCTACTACGTAGTTTTTAGGTGGAGACGCATAGCAGGACGAACCATTATCCAGAAAACTTTGCGCCTCCGGCCTTCGGGATTTCTCTGTCAATGGGTTAGGCTGACGTCATGAGTTACTTCATTAATATTGCTACATAATTCCCCCAAAAGTAGAGGGGTTCAAGGGTCTGAAATGGAAGTGGGAATTACAAAGAAAACATAAATGACTCTTAATTACCTGTAGCAGAGTCGAGAGATTGAAACCGCCTCAACTTTTTCAGAGTCTCTTCGTTTTCTTTTTCTTCAGTTTTCTCTCGAGGGAACAAGTGTGTAGCAGTTTTTACGACGCTGTGCTGGCGAGAGAAGAAAAGGATTGAAAGAAATTGTGTTTCACTCTAGTTAAATGCTTACCATCGAAAGTAGGACAGACCGGTCGAAATTTATTTATATTTTCCTGCTTTTGTAAAGAAAATTTACAGGATGAGATTTCTGGAAATGAATTGCAATTATTCTTTCAAGCATGTTATTAGCTGATATTTGCAAGTACACTCAAGCATCTCTATAACACCCTCATTCTGAATTTTTTTTTATTGTTCTAGCTAGATGTTGTTCTAAAGAATATATATTATAATATAATATAAAAATTAATTTCATAAAAAACTTGATTTTTATAGTGAATTGTTATTATATAACGATATTGTTATAGAGAGGTATAGCGGTAATCCAATAAATAAAAGAAAGAAATTTTTTGCTCCTACTCTTTTTCTATATCTATAAGGGTGAAAATCATTTATATTCCTCAAGGCTTTTGGGTTGGTGATTGCGAACTCTAGCTTTCCGAAAAGAGGCGCATTTGGTTACTTTTCAAAATGCGGTGGCGAAGACTCAAATTGACTATCTCCTCATCAGGAGGTGTGACAAAGGGCTGTGCAAGGATTACAAGGTGATTCCGGGGGAGATACTCGTGACACAACATAGGCTATTGGTGATGGATATTGGTATTATGTTAAAAATATCGTCCACATTCTAATCCTTTTCGCCTCCAACAAGGTGAGACAACTCTCTTTATTGTTGTTGTTGTTAATAATTGATGTTGTTGTATATATTGTATTTCTAAATTTTAGTCCTATGAAGATTGATAAACTAATTAAGTTACCATTTTTTGAAATCGTTTAGTTTATAACCACATTTCTCATAATTTGGATAATTCCCTTGCTTAAAATTAAGGCAACACTGTGTATTAATTGTTGATGCAATCATATATATATATATATATATATATATATATACGTTCCTTATTGATACAGATGCAGAAGGTGCAGATTTTTTTTTATTTAAAGCCATCACCTTCAGGCTATAGTCTTTGGTGTGGGGGGTTAAGTAAGACCCCTACCATGTCTATATATAAACAAAAAGGTATAAAATAGAGGAGGACATGGACCTTACCTCTATACTAATAAAAGAAAGGAGAGCCTAGATTCCTTTCATTAATACAAACTATACAATCAGCTTACAAAAAAATTACATTTGTCATATCTTCTTCTCATTGAAGGAAGTTGCCATCTATCTAGTTGAAATAGTCCTTTGGCCTCTCTTGGCAACTACTGAAGAGAGTGATAGAAGGTGCTAGTTCCACTTGAAGATGCTAACTTAGCGAGAAAATCTGCCACTTGATTTGCTTCTCTGAAGTAATGAGAGATATGTACAGTAGCGTCTCTGAGAACATGAATAGTATCCATGATAATGTTCTTTAACTTAAGCTTGTCTGTTCCTCTGTTGAGAAGCATATTGGCAATCACCATGGAGTCTAGTTCAATATGAATCATGTGTAACCCATGTTGTACGCACCATTTAGTGCCAAAGTTGGCCGCCATTGCTTCAGTCTGATTGTTGTTGCTAGTGCGTACAGGAAAAGAAAAGGCCATCAGAAAATCTCCTTCACTATCCCCGACAATGCCTCGGATGCCAGCCTTTCTATTTTCTCTATTGAAGCTTCCATCTTTATTGAATTTGATCATCACCGCCATAGGTTTATTCCACATGACTTTCTTGATATTCACTGTGTGTTGAAGTCTTTCAATCATATTACAAATGTTGGGCTATGTACCTGTTAAGTTGTAACTTGGATAGGTGATTTGAATGGCTGCTTGAATGTGCCAGATGGTTTGAAATTCCATCTTGCGTTTGTTGATTTTTTTTTGCTCGCCATATTTACATGTCATCTAGCTCTTCCAAAGTTCCCAACAAATTACCACTGGAGCTATATGTGATAGAAGTTTGTGTATAGCATTTTTTGGATTAATGTCCCACCATTCCTTAATAACTCTGTTGATCGACCACTGGTGATGAGTGATTCCTAAAGGAGCACCAACATATTTCCAAATGTGCCTAGCTGCTTCTCCCTCCACAAAAGTGTGATGGATAGAGTCATTATTAGGCATATTGCAACAACAACATCTGGATTTTATTTGGTTGCTAAATCTAGCAAGTACTTCATCAAAAGGGAGTTTACCTAGACACAATCTCCAAGTAAGAAATGAGAATTTAAAAGGAATAGAGTTATGCAAAAGCTTACTGAAGAACATATTTGTAGGTCTCTGTTTGTGGATAATATGCCAAGCAGATTTATTTGAGTATTGGCCATCAGTGCTATTCTATACAGCATCATCTGTATCAGTTAGTTGGCCAATGTTGATATTGCTAATGATTTCCACCATTTGATTTGTTAGGGTGTTGCGAAGCTTGCTCAAGTCCTAGCCACCATTGTTAATAAATTCACTAACGTTGGTTTTATTACGAATGGAGGTACTGATATTATTATTGCCATAAGCCAAAGGACCTGTCATTGTCCAATTGTCCCACCAGAAGTTGCAGTCACCAGAGTTAACAAGCCATATGATATTGCCTTCTACTTTATCCCTAGCCCATAGCAAGTGTTTCCAAGTCTGTGAGTTGCCCGAGATCCATTTCTTTTTTACAGGGTGACTCCTTGGGCAATATTTAGCTCTGAGGAAATCATCCCATAATGAAGGTTTTGTTCTGAGTCACCACCATCTCTTGATAGTTAAGATGGCAGAGATATATTCAAGACTTTTAATACCAATGCCACCTTCCTCTTTAGGAAAACATAAGTTTTTCCAGGAGCTCCAATGATAATTATTTTTTTCCCCAGTAGTTCCCCCAAAGGAACCTAGCCATATGTTTTTCAATGAGGTTCAGAGTTCCTTTGGGAGGGTTTAGAGCAGTAAGCGTGTAAGTGGGCAAAAATTGCAAAATACTCTTGATGAGAACCACTCTGCCCCCATAGGTTAACATTTTACCTTGCCATCCATTAAGCCTCTTCACAATTTTGGTAACCATTTTATCAAAGAAACATATCTTTTTCCTTCCAACATATATTGGGCAGCCAAGATAGGTGAAAGGGAAGATCTTGTCCATAAAGCCTGTGCAATCTCTTAACCTGTTGATTCTGTAAGCACTAGCTTTAGGGTCAGTGAGGAAAAAACTTTTATCCTTATTGACAAGCGACCCGAAGCCTTTTCATATTTTCTGATCTCTTTCATTACCATCTTGACAGTTTTTGAATTACCACTACAAAAAATAACAATGTCGTCAGCATAAGCAAGATGATTTATTTGAGGCCCTCTCTTATTCATAGAGAAGATAGTGAAGTTATCCTTATGAATGAGGTTGTTCAAGGATTTTGTTAATACTTCTGCATCAAGAATAAAGAGAGAGGGGATAAAGGATCACCTTGCTTGAGCCCATGAGAAGAGGTGAAGAAGCCATGTCTAGTACCATTAATAATAATCGAGTACCAAACATTCGAGACCATTCTCCAAATCATATCAGACCATTCTTTACATAACCCAAATTTATTAAGGACAACAATAAGGAAGCCCCAAGAGAGCCTGTCATATGCTTTAGCCATGTTAAGTTTCATAACAATATTTCCCCCTTGTTTGGTTTTGAGATAACATAAATGATCTCCTGAGCTAGCATGACATTTTCCGTGATTAGTCTCCCAGAGACAAAACCACTTTGGTTTTCAGAGATGAGCTTAGAAAGAAGAGGGTTCAACCTTCTGGATAAAAGTTTAGATATGATCTTGCTAGTGTAGTTGCACAAACTAATAGGTCTGAGTTCTTCAAATCTGGACGGAGATTCCACCTTAGGGATAAGAGCAATGCAGGTGTGTGAGTAAAAATTAGTGAGGTTCTTCCCTTTAAAGAAATCCCTAACAAACTCAATGATGTCCTGTTTGATGATATACCATGTAGCCTGAAAAAAATTTCCATTAAAGCCATCAGGTCTAGCAGAACTTTCAATACTCATACTGAAAACAATGTCTTTGATTTCCTCTTCTAAAGGCATGATAGTCAACCTTTCATTGTCTTCCTCTGTAATAATATTAGGGATGCAATTCAGCATATCATTGCTCGCACTAGGCTGCTGGTTGAGATTGAAGAAACTCTTAAAGTGCTTGACAGCAGCCTTAGCAATTTTATCCTCACCTTGTATCCACCTATCTCTATGATTCTTCATTCTATGTAGTTGAAGTCTTCTTCTTCTATCTCTCAGAATACTATGAAAATAGCTAGTGTTGCAGTCATCATCCTTGAACTAATTAATCTTAGCTTTCTGTTTCATCAAGGATTCTTGCATTTCCAGTCATCTAGTATATTCAGCATAACCTCTATTTAGCTCTTCTCTTCCTTGCTCATTGTTATTTTGCATATCAATTTCTTCTAGGATTTGCACCTTAGCTTCCCAGGAACTTACTTGTTCATGAATGTCCCCTATGTTTTCCCTTGACCATTGACTGAGATGCTTATCAAGAAGTTTCAACTTACTTTGGAGCCTCCACATAGCATTACCTTGAATATTGGTATTCCAAATCTCCTGAACCATATCTAGAAAGCCAGGTTGAGTGGTCCAGAAGTTGAGGAATCTGAAGTATTTGATGTGCTAATGTTGTTTGCTGTGACATTTCAAAAGAAGGGGTCTATGATCAGAACCATTCCTTACCAAATGCTTCACAATGTTATTTTGGAAGTGTTGATCCCATTGATCATAATCATGTCCAGTCTCTTCCAAATTATTTTGCTAGGTCTTCTATTGTTGCACCAAGTGTATCTTGGGCCAGTGAATCTAATGTCCATTAATCCACAAGATTCCATAGTGCTAATAAAATCCAGACTTATGCATGCTCGATGAGGATTACCACCTAGTTTTTCAGTCGGATCCATGATAATGCTGAAGTCACCACCAATACACCAAGGGCCATCGATAGTGTTGTTCATATTATGAATACTATACCACAGATCTCTTCTTTCACTAGTAGTACATTTGGCATATACTGCTGTAATGAAGGTTCCTGAATCTGCAGCATTTTCTTTCATATTGAGAGTGATTTGTTGTTCACTGTGTACCA